GAATACAACTAATGCCTACCCGTAGCATAGATCCTGGCGGTTCGGTCGACTCCACCGGTAATAATGTAGTGGCCATACACAGGAGCCCAGGCTACATCCCAGATTGGTAAAAGATGGTCGCGCCAAACAGTCAAGCAACCCCCCCACACCAAAGTGGACCAGAGCCGCAAAGTGCCGTCGGCGCTTCCGGACGCGATGAGATGACGATCAGAGCTGAATGAAAGACCATGCACTGTTCCGGTATGACCCAGGAGATCTCTAACTGGATGAAAGTCACTTGAGATCGTAGGAAGAATAAAAAGCCATGAATATATGATAAAACAAATGAATGGGTCTACCTCATCATTTGAGCGAAGAGAAGCTGGCTTTTGAAAAATCCATTAATAGATTGACACTAGTATACCTTTCATATCGTTTGAGAAGGCGGGTAGAAGGGAGTCGTAGATTGCCCCCCTGGATACCGAAGGAGAGTTGCCTTTGAATTTTGTATGTTGAATTGTGCGCAGAAGACCTTGGCTCACCGTCCTACGACCCCGATGACTCCGGACTGGGCTTTCCTCCATCGTCAGACATCGTCAGAGCCAGAAACCATAATTCACGAACATTCACCAAAAACACTAAACCGAGAAAGGTGGCCAGCTGAGATCCCACTTACTTATTTTACCTCACTTTGCGATCGGAATGAGGCATTCCATAATTTGGTCTTGTTGTTAGGGGGAGTTAGTTGGACGCACCTTGTTCAAAGTCCTCTGCCACAGTAGGTATCATAATTACAAGCGTCAGAGCGTGGACTTGACATAAATAAGTGTATATTTTATCTTTGAAGGTAAATAGGACGAGCAAACCGAAGGTTTAGCTATAGGATCGTATGTGTTTCCAGTTTTGGCCAAAAACTTCATGGCTCAATTGGAAGCTCGGCTTTTACAAGTCACTCCTGGTTCCGAAACTTTTGGTCAGATATATGGATGATTACTTTGCTATCTGGTAGAATGACTGTTTGGAAGACTTCCTTAGGTTAATGAATAGACTAGATAAGGCGACTAAATTCACTATGTTGTTAGGAAAAGACAGTAAGTTACCCTTTTTAGATGTCCTAGATTTCTTCTCTAATCATACTTATGGTGCTAAAGTAGAGCTAATGCAATCAATGGCAATAAGGAGTTTACGTTTGGTGGTAATAAATCATCAGGAACAGGAATTCGAAAGGCTACAAAAAGCTTAGTTGAGAACAATTATCCGTTAGGATAATTTCAAAATACTAATAAATAGGGTGAAAGGAAACAACTATTTGGAACAAAACAAGGAATTAGACAATTTTTCGTCCAGGTTCATAATTTTACCATTCTGCAGGATTTCAAGATAAATAGGCGAATTAATGAGGAAATAGAGCATCAAGTAAATGTATAGACGTGTGCTAACGCTTTCCTCGGTCATACCTTTTTTTAGAAAATCCTCAAACGCCCTCTGCAGATCAGGTTGTGCTCATGCTGCAGTGCTTACATGGAGGAGACTTGTCGACCCATACATAAGAGGTTATCAGAGCATAGAAACGCCTGCAGGTTTATGGATTCAGAAATCGGATGTGGCTAAACATGTGATCACTACATGACACTAGAGAGAGTAGCCTAAATTCCAACGTTTTGCCGGATATGGAGATATCACAGCTAAGTGGAAGATCAGTCGATTGAAAGTAACAAAACAAAGAACATCCTGAATAAGAGGAAAGAATGTAGGAAACTAAGTAAGAACTATCCGTGGCTGCTGAATAGAATTTTAAAAAAGAGAAGAGGGAACGGGAAGAACTACAAAACAAGAGAAGATTTGACTAAGCTGGAGTTTGGTTTTGGACTTGAATCACCCACCAACTTGTGAGTGTCATACTTACACGAACACACATCAACTACGCCATAACAAGCATAAAGCAGCCAACTAAATGAGGGAATGCCTCATTAAGATAGCAAAAAGAGGTATAAGAAATAAGTAGGATATTAGCCAGCCACCTTTCTTAGTTTAGTGTTTTTCGTGAATAATAGTTTCTGGTTCTGACGACGTCCATCACATGGACGAAAGTTCAGCACGGAGTCTTCGGGGTCTTAAGACGGTGAGCCGAGGTCTCCTTCGCACAATTCCACAAAGTCCAAGGCAACACTCCTTCGGTATCCGATGAGGCCAATCTAGGAATCCCTTCCACCCGCCTTCTCAAACGAAACGAAAGGTATGCCAATATTATTAAGAATAGGCCAAACAATTAAATTGAAGATGTGAAGACCAAGATATTGTGGCAGTCTCCTTTCGACTTATAGAAGTGGGTTGACCTCATTGTCGCAACTTGGTCTTGTGTTCAGGGAGAC